TTTAACCATAAACACACCAGGAATATATTTCAAAGTACAACAGTAATGTAACGTATGGTAAGGTTTTACAACCCAAAGTATGTTATAAACAGATTTAGGATCAGAACTTTAAAATGAAAATGTAATTACTTGAAGTTGCCAGAATGAGGATTGTTTTTTCTCACTAATGTGTAATTTAGCGAGTGAATTCTGCAGATTACGAGCCATAAAATCAGATTGCTTTTCCACTGTCATAAAATGTTTCACAAACCTTCTCCATTCACTTTTCTGCACATATTGACACAACCCTTTGAGGAAAATACGAGGCATAAAATGGCAAAGAAAACAGTCTATAATAATCTAAAAGGTTCATTCTGTCTAGCTGCATTAGTCTTCTCGAATTGGATATTTTCCCATAGAGAAAAACAACAGATTTTTTTTCCCCTAAACCCAGTTTCAGTATCTAAGTGATGAAACCACCACAGAGGAAACAATCTCCAAATAGGAGATAACCCACTGCCACAGAGAGGTGAGCCAACTGTTCCAATTCTTAAACAAGGGGGTGTGCTATGGGGCCCAGAGATAATTTAAGCATTTGTGTAAGCTGTTTATCAAATTATTAGCAGCACAGATGTTGACTTGCTGGGGGCAGAACAGCCCACAAAAAGGAACAAAGGTCTGAATTGTTCAATGGGGATGTGCCCTGAATACAAATTTAATTTACTAGCTGTTAATTCCCATGCAAATTCTGACCTCTTTCAGGGCATACAAATAACCATACATGTGGGATAGTCTTTAGATGACATTGTAAAGAGGCAATGCAGTAAAAGTAGAGCACAGTAAAAATGCATACATAGACAAGTAGTCATACGTTCACACATTAGCAAAATTACTTTATCCAAGTTTCATGGCTTTTAATCAAAAATGTAAAAACATTCAATTGGAACACTTACTTCAGTAATAATAAATGTCAAAATATTAGGAGGATCATTAAAAGATCGGAAGTTTACAAACACAAAGTTAATTAAAGCCGCAAGCGGCGTCGAACGGCCCTTGCCACACCGCGCGACTCCCTGCACTGCGCGCACTCCCCGCACCGCGCCCACACCACCCCGTGCCACGCCACCCCGTGCCACGCCGCCCCGCACCAAGCCACCCCGCACCAAGCCACCCCGCACCAAGCCACCCCGCACCAAGCCACCCCGCCCTACACCACGCCGTCCCGCATCACACCACGCCGTCCCGCACCACACCAAGCCGCAACGCGCCGCTCCACAACGTCCCATAAAAATAAACACCAAAATATCAAATTTTTCACCAGGTCTGATGTTTGGGAAAAATTTTACAACTTTTCATGCATGTTCAGGGGGTGAAATTAAATTGCAGAATTTGACATCTCTCGAGCAAAAACAATAGGCCCTTTCCCCGTTCGGGGCTCGGGCCTAATAATACCCCCATGGGATTTTTCGGAGGTCAAGTTGGTCGTAGAGCCATGAAAGGTCAATTGAAAGTGAAATAAAAGAACTTGGCTCATTAGTGCCCCTACAGATGGAGTCAAAGTTTTCAGAGTTTTTCATACTAAAAACTCTGAAATAGTCTGTAGGGGGCGTTAATGAGCCAAGTTCAATTATTTCACTTTCAAATGACCTAGACCCTAGAGTTGAACCATGGATTCAAGTTTTGTGCAAATCGGAATTTGTATGTGTAAACGAGAGCAAATAGAAGGTTGTGAAAAACGGCCAATAAACACTCACATTTTGCCGCTCCGCTGCTCAAACAACGTTTCACTGATCAAAAATCCCTGAGGTCATTTTGATGGTACATGTGTTTAGACAATGTGGAGTGATATGGAGGCCAATCGGTGAAACGGCCGAGGAGGAGTCGCTTTCCAACCGACAGCAAAATGATTGCGGATCATTTTTCCATTTTGCAGTGAAATTTATGGGCCTCCTGTTTGTCAGAGGGCGGAGCCATGGTAACATTTCGGTCGTATCTTGACTTGAGGAACATGTGTACCGAATGTCATGGCTTTACGACAAACCTTCCAGAGGTTTGACCCACTCCTACAGACAGAACTGATGTAACTGAATCAGGTTTCTGAGCCTTCTTGCTTGTATCCACTTTTTCAGCTCTGTCCACAAGTGTCCAATGAGACTGAGGCCAGTGTGCTGGCCACTCCTACAGCCCTCATCTGCGGCCAAGCTTCAACTTTCTCACTGATGTTTTGCGGTGTTGGCTAAAAACCTCCACAGAATCTTCCTTTTTCATGATGTCATTGATTATATGCCACCAGTCCCTCCCGCAGAAAACACCCCCACAACATAATCCTCCATGGCATCTGAAGTCATGACATCATTTAAGCCGTTTAAAAGCACAGTCAATTTAGTGTATGTAAACTTCTGACCCTCTGACAATGTGATAAAAAAAAGAATTATGGATAAAATTGGGAGGGAAATATTGTTTCTAATTATAAACTTTTTGTTTCATTTCACTTTATGTAAAATCTAGTTTAATTAACTTTTTTTTTCTGCCGGTAATAGGAAAAGTAAAACTAAACATCTGTTATTGTGTATCTGGTTTAAAATGGACACTCAACGTCATTCCCAGGGAAGCGCAGAAGAAGCATCACTACTTCCTATGCACAAAAAACACTTTCAAAACTTTTTCAACATACTTTCATAAATGATTTTATTTTACACAAAAAGGTCATTTGCAACACGGGACCTCCGTACAGAAGCTTGGGATTGATTGTGCATAGTCTTGGTTAATTAAGGTTGACAAGATCATGAACGTTCTAATAGCTTCATGCTAACAATAATACATTTGTCTTATATTGCTTCACTACTCACATTTATGAACAGATACACTGATTAAGAACCATATTATACACTATTTGTTTAGGCCGTCTTTACAATTTATAGTCATTTTTTCAGTGTTTTTTCACTATATTCATTTCAACATTTTAGTTGAAATTAATTGCTTAATTAGGAGGAGAACAGTTCCTCTGAACTGTTAGTGAGCTGCAGGTGGTAAATTCAGATTCAGACTACTTTATTCATCCCACCAGAGGCAATTCATTTGAGCAGCATAGAGCATAAGGAAACGTAAAAAAATTAAAACAAATCTAAATCTGTTACACAAGGTGAAAAACTAAAATAAACTAAAAAAATAACGAAAACTAAATAATAATCAACACCATCATCATCACCCTGTGTGTAATAAACCAACAATTTAAAATGATAATAATAATACAACAGTTAGAAGACTCTATAAAATATTGTACTCACTAAAACTAGCCCCTCCCTCACTGGTTCTAAGACTAGCTTTTATCTTGGAATAAAATGGACCAGTTTTTTCACACAGAAAAGGGAAAAAACAGGGGACCACCTTCTCACGGGGTTCTTTCTTTCACATATGCATAATCTAACATGTTCTAATTGGATGGAGGTGATAACAAACATGTATTATTCGTAGGAGTAAAGTCACGTTCCGCACCTTTAATCCCAACTTTATCTGTTAGCCCAAAAAGAGAAGTCAATCCACAACATTGCCTTTTTTTCTTCTTTAGCACACAACTTGCCAGTGATTCATTAGCGGTTGTTCCATAAAACCAATTATATACTGTGAACTTCAGTGCATCACTGTGAATGTATACGGATGTTACAGGATCATCAATAAATTCCATGCAAACTGGCCCACTTCAAACCCTGGCTTTTTATCACACTACTCTACATAGGGCTACTGCATACTCTGTACTTATCAAAAAATAAAAAGGTACTCTGATTACTGTTGGACTGAGGATGGCAATGGCATCTGGAGAGCGGCAACATATCTTCTCTGAACAAAATAGGTTTAGTAGCACTCTTGTTGTCAGTAACTATCCTAAATAATCAAATGGTGATATTTTTGTCTTGCTTTGTGGAGATTTGTCTTAAACCAGACAGTTGTAGTTGTGTCTCACTCCCCTAATAAGATGAACAGTTCAAACTATTGTTACTGACACCGCCTTGAAACTTAAAATAAATTTTTGTCCTTTTGTCAGTCAGGCTCTCTGGTCTCTCGCTGGTCAGTGAAGTCACAGCCAATCATATGATTTCTTCCTTATTCTGTAAATTGTTGATTATGCCATAATCCAGGATTTGCTTATGTTTGTATTGTGCCTTTTTATCCTTGTTCTGTACTATTTTCATTGTAATATGTAAAGTTTGATTGGTGTTCATACGCTATTTGCTTCAGTCCACTTCTTTTGTGCAGTATTAAAGGTATACAAGAGGATTGTATAATTCGAGGTGGATCATCAAGGCTATTGGTCCTCGCAATGGTCAATTATTCTGTTGACACATGCTCATTAAATAATATCAGAGTTTTGTTATAAAAAGTGGAGAGGGCTTTTCTTTCCTAAACAATTGGAAAATTGGCCTATATACCTTTAATACAACTTAAGTAAACAAATAAATAATACTATTATTTATTATATATATTTATATATAATAAATATTTTAATTGTTTGTCTTGTCGTTTATTTTTATTTAATTGTATTGGACTATGAGTCCGGAATAAAGTTGAATTGAATACATTGATTTCTACACCTACTCCCACTGATGTCTGCTGTCGTTATGTCCTTTGACAAGACACTTAACCCCACTTTGCCTGAAGCCCCCGCTGAAAGATTAAAGCAGCTCAGACTCATAGACTGTAAATAGAGCAGCCGTCCTACTGTGAACTCACCACCTGCAGGAAGATCAGTGAGGGGCTGCTGCTCTCTGACTGCCACCCCCCGACCCAGAAATGGTTTAAGGGGTACACCGCTTCGCCCCTTCGCCCGCATGTTCGTCACGTGACTGCTTGTTATGGGAGCAGAGGATTGTGGGATGCGGTGCTCATGGTGACGAATGTAAACACAGTCCTCTCTCTCCTCGGCGCTCAGACTGACTTTAGCCAACGTTAGTGAATAAAATAAACGCTCAATGAATTACAGCGGGGATCAATATTATGAGAAGATTACAGCAATCCAACAAAGCATGCATGGAAGGTAAGCCTCGGCGGGTGTTTTGTACGTATTAATTTGATGGGAGCCTGTGTTTGCTAACAAAGCTAGCCGGGGCTACAGTAACATGCTAATATGCTAACAAGCTAGCGTCGGGTTGTTTTACGTGATTGTAACTAACATACTCATTTTGTGTGGCTTTGTAGGGAGAAACGCAGACTTGAATTGGAGAGAGAGCTTTTTGCCTATTGCAGATCTGATAAAAGGGTGTAAGTTGATGATCTAATGGTGTAGCTTAAATAATTTCACGTTTATTTAGTTGGACATAGTTATTAAAGTAGCTCTAAACTGATTTAAGTTCACAGATAAAGTGTGCTAAGCTACGCAGATACCTGAGGGACATTTCTGACAGAGAGGAGAGAGCAAAAATGAGAAATCTTGATCTTCTGCGGGAGGTTTCGAGCATAGAAATGAGTATGAAGAGGTATCATCCTGACCCAGGACCTCTGATGCAGATGAAGGTGATTATGCTAATGAGCTGGACTTCTGTATGTTACATGTCTATAATTACAAAAAATGCACATAATTATGTATTCAAGGACACTGTTTGGCCATTCTTAAGTAGTGAATACAGTTGATCAAATAAAATTGTCATTAGTTTTGTAACTTTTTTGACCTAACAAAATTGTATAATATATCTTTTTATTCACCATGAATGCATTACTACTAGTACAAAGTACAATGGCTGCATGCTGTGTTTCTGGTTTAATAGCTATTATTATACTGTCTGCATAGTACTACAAGTTTATTTTATGAAGATTTTTTTTATTTTACAGGCTGATGTCATGAGTGAAATTTCCAAATGTATGGACACAAAAACAAACCATAAGACTACATTTACAAAGGTAATTGTTGTAAATATATATTTTCTGTTATATATTATTATTATTATATTGTCTGGCCCAGTTAGGCGGTTGTCATTTGTAAATAAATGTTCTATATTTAGGCAATTTCGTAATATTCTTTCCATGTTTAAAATAGTAAGTAATAGTAAGTTTTTATTTATATACCGCCTTTTCACTGCAGATCTGAGTCTCAAAGCGGTTTACAATTGTCAATTTTGGGCATTTGTCTCTCACTCCACACAGAGATGGGAGCAGGGTCAAAAATATCAAGGAGCTTCGTATTTCTTGAAAATCCTTAAAGATGTATTAAAACAAGCGATGCAGTTGAAGCTCATGCTGCTTTTCCCTTCACTTAACACAGTTAAAGCTCTTTTAGATGAAATGTCTTAGACAGCTCATAATAACTTGGAGCATTCTGTCTAGAGCAGTCACTTGTAACTGTGTGCATCCCCCATACCCACCCCTCAGCGTCAATATTGTAATGAGCAAAATGTTACCGTCACTCCATTATGCATACGAGCCATTGGCTGGCAGTGTGCATGTCCCCCAGGCTGCAGCATTCATTAAGGGAAGCTTACCGGGCTGAAAGCTGGAGACAGATGATAACGGGATATGATTTTCATATTTAATACATTCCTTGGAAGAGCACACGCGTGCCACAGATTGATAGAAGAATCAATTGCTACTTTACTGAAACACTTTCTACTTTGCCCTGCAGCTACCGATGGAATCACTCAGCCAAGAAATTAACTTTCCCCTTTTTTACCTACTTTGTGGATCTGCTGGGCAGGCTACATGGTTACAGTGAATGTTATTACGCTGCTAACTGTTTGGTATTTAAGACGCTTATCAGAAAAGAAACAGAAGCCAGGCTTTTTGTCATTATATTTTGAGGGAGGCTTTTTTGCTTGACTCTCTCCTCCTCCTGGTGACACTGGAAACATGAATCTAAACATTAAAAGTTTTTCACTGATCTTAAGACATTGTTCTGAAATCTCTTTTAGAATAAATTTCAACCTTGGCTTAACTAACTAACCATCCTGTCAATGATGAGCTTTCTTACATTGAGGGATTTCTGCTGTTTTACCCTGAGTGAATTATGTTTTTTGAACATGTGAAAGTTAACAATCAAAATCTGTGTGTGATATTAAATGATCTAATATGTATCACAAAAACAAATATATTTTTCAAAATATTTAATTTTTGTCTTGCAGATAAAACAAATGGATTGTCAACCCTTTCCTCATTCAGTTAACAATCCGGCTATGCTAAGTGTTGTGCATCAGCAGACACAAGTTAGTCCAAGGTCAAGCCCAGACCATATCCTGCCCTATTCTCCTAAGAGCAGCCGACATGTTCCTGAACATCTAGGTAGTGGTTTAGTTCAGGACTCCAGAGATGGCTATAGCCAAGAGTATTCATCAGGTAACATTATAAGTTCCGATCCCCCAGATAGCTATGGTTTGAATGACCAACATAAAAGGATGACATCAGAGCTCCCAACTGCTCAAAACGACTCTGAATGTAATGAACACAAGCCTCCCCCTGCAGCACCACTAACAGCAGCTGACGACAGCCCATCTCCCTCCAGCCCTGGGCCTGTCAGTGCTGCAGAGCTCATTGGAGAGAGAAAATGCACCTCTCTGTCACCAGGAAAAGAAATAGCAGAAAGATGCTCTAAAAACTCGGTTCCTGAAAATAATACTGGTATCTACAAATGGCCAATATGATTTATGTTGTTTTAATTCTTTAAATTGTTTAACACTGATTTTGTTTTTACTCAGAAAATAATGAAAGTTCACTGTCCTCAGAGGTGAACTTGTCATCAAGCAAATCTAGTGCTTTGTCCCTTTCGCTGACACAATCTGAACTGGATGAAGATCTACTGAAGAGTGAGGAACAGGATTCCTTTGAAGACGGAGATGATCGACACAGTCCAAATACAGTCTCTGAAAGGTGTGACTTTAAAAGGGTGACTATCATACATCAGATCTTACAATTCTGGCTATATTGCAAAAACAAAACATCAACCCTCCAGTGCCATGAGATGATGTAAATGATCACATACTAAAATAAACACATTTAAAAAGTTTTTCACCAGCACACCATACTCCATTTGAATCCGACAGACAAGATTGTGACAGTCACAGTCCAGGCCACAGGGCTGCAGCTGTAGCAGTCATGCACCGCATAGATCCCAGAACCTGTCATTAATATATAATAGTATTGTCGTAATCCAAGATAATACTGTAACAGAGCAATTTTCTGCATGAGAAACCTTAGGAAGTCCCCTGCGGATGAAGAAAATTGTGTCGGCATAGAGTGTTACAGAGCGTGGGCATATGGACAGCTCTCACAGCAACAAATCCTTAGCGTGACGATGGCCTCTGAGTTGAAGCATCATTTTGGACGGATTGCAGACACAGAAAACCCAAGCGAGTCTCCTCTGTTCCCACCTGTTCTGAGCAAGTGCTTATAAACCTATTTCATTTTTTTGATTATATGTTCATAAGATACGATGACATTTTGCATTTAATTCTAGAATAATAATTTTTCATGTTGCTTTAAGCTAACTTATAGCAACATGAAAAATGCTAAATTAAATTCTGATGTCATTCTTTTAATATCACATCAACCAGTAGCTATAGTAATGTATCATACAAATTATTTTAGGCCACAAATAATCTATTATAATCTACCTGTACGAAAAATATTAAATATAGCACAAATTGTGGAATATTTTTCTAACCCAGGTTAGATTGGTAACATCCATGTCGAGATTCCTTTGACACCAATCACTCTTGGTTGAGTCCATTCCACGAGAGAAATCACCTTGTGCACTGTTGAGCAATATCTCCGCTGAGAGGCAGAGCTTTTCATCCAGGCCGACAATGTGCTCCTGATGATGTCAGTGCATGGACAACACCCACATCTGAAAGGAGGTCACTGACCTTGACATGAAAGCAGACAACAATACCCTGAAAGGTTTGCTGGGAAGGCCCAACTTATTCACTTTTTTCGTTTAGGGTCTCATTTTGAAGAGCATCGATAAATAACGTGGAAAAGAGAAAGATTACTATTTCAAGGCCTTTTACTGACTATAAAGAAAATTCTGCCCAATCTTTTTCCTGTACTACTTCAGCCTCCCTCAAGAGGACTTTGAATGGTGACTACAGAATGTCATCGATATGATTCAATTTGTCGCTTAAATCAAGATGTTTCTAGGGAACAAGCAACAAAAACAGGAGCAGTTTCCCGACCTCTAACCTGGGAGCCTGATCAGATTGTCATAAATTCTTCTTTGCTCTGTTGTGAAGAGGCTTAGGATCTGTGAGCTTGGGCTTCCAGGAGAATTCATTGTTGGCCACCAGCAGCTTAATGCTTTAGATAGCAGCAGCCTTTTTATATACAAATGTATTAGAAAGCAGTCTCCTGTTAGGACCAGATTAAATACACCCCATGGAGCTGCCTCTCACTGAAAGATGTAAACGCTGCTTTAAAGTTTATTATTGCTGTGGATATTCTATGAATATAAAACTGATTATGTCTTGTGCCTTAGCAGTGCCTCTTGCATTCATTTGAAAAGAAGCTCTATTCCTTGTCATACATTTTATGTGGAAAATACAGTACAATCATCTCAACATCCGACTCTCTCAGACGTTTGTTGTCGTGTTCGTAGTGTAACAGATGAAAGGTCCTTCAATTCCTTCATAGTTGAATAAATGTGCCCCAAAATATGATTCACTTGTATGCTATACCTTTCATCACATTTTTTCAATCAAGATTATGTTTATTTCAAAACAAACAAACACCAATCACAAAACAAAATAAATGTAATAGATTTAAAGAGGGAATTATTATTGTACAATTCTGGGCACATTTCTATCTGTCGACTTTCCTAAAGATTGATGTCACAGAAAAGAACACATGCACATATTATTTTCTACATTTCCTGATGTAATTGTAAAGCGCTTTGTGACTCTGGTTTGTGAAAGGCGCTTTGATAAATGAATAAAGATGCAACTAGCGAACAAACGGTTAGAACTACTGCTCTAATAGTGCTGCCATCTTTTCGTCCTAAACTAGACCCAGAAGAGGCGGTTTTAGTGTCGCTCTGGTGGTAACTGGTAAGATTTGTGATTTTTATGTCATGTCATGTTTTGCAGCTTGTCCCAGAAAGGTCTCTTCAGGCTGATGGACACCATTGAAGGACAGCTCCATGATCACCAAAGCACTGTGTATAGTATTCATTCCATTGATGCAGAAGAACTCAACAGAATTATTAGGTAAACCATTAAAAATAAATCTTTGTCACCTTGTTATTTCATTGTCCATGTAACCCTTGTGAGGCGGCAGTTGAACATATACAGTATATACTGATGCTGGAATGGCTTGGTGACCGTGTCTGACTGCTCTATATACTGTATATTGGCCAGCCTTTGTAACCGTGGAGAGGACTTGAATGGTGAGGACTCTACAGCTTGTGGAGCAGTCGTCCTCCATGAGCTGCAGAGGTTGTCATGGAGTACTGAGAAGGGCTGCCTACTTCCACAGGATGTAGTGAGTGCACACCAATCCTGCAACGAAGCAAACCAAATCAGGTAGGCTTCCAGTGGATAAAATGTCAGTGAATGCATTTTATAATATGAATTGTTCCTATTTTAACACTGTAGTTGTAGTATGTTACCCAACGTGATTAAAACTGAACCTCAGAGACATCGTTTATGATGTATTCTTGTCTCTGTGCAAACTATATGCTTTGTGAAATACTTATTGCGCAACACGCATATCAGTGCTTTAAAAGCTACAGGGTTCAATAGACTTTTCTTTCCTTTAATAGAGAAACATGAACTTACACAGAGGTGAGCACCACTATTGAAAGAAAAGAGTGTCTGTGCATTTTTCTCCCTTTTTTTGAAAACACGACATTAGAGAAGACATGCGCATAGAAATGCTGTTGAGATATTGCACATGACCATTTCATTCAGTCTCCCTTGTCCACAAACGTAAAGGTCATCTTTGGTGTCACCTCCTGAGGTAAAACGGCACGGGTGAATGTCATGAGTAAATTAAAATGCCCTATCTGTGACTTCCAGTCCTTTGGATAATGAGTAGTTATACTCTAAGCCAAATCCATGCTCTGCTTCACTACTCTATTGATTTCACTGAGACCTTTTCTGCTCTATACTCAGTCTATTGACATCTAGTGGTGTCCCTCTCCCTTCTGCTGAGAAGTGTATCGAGTCTTTGACCTTATTTCAGATTCTTAAATTGTTGACAGTTTCTAGTTAACTGAAATTTATCAATTCCTCAGTATGAACATCAACAAACAGCCCTTTCGTCTCAGCTTAGATTGTGTTATTAGAAATCTATAAAAGATTCTTTATTTACTCAAAGATTACTGGTGATTCAATGTGTTGAATGAAATCTACGGCTTCATGTTTTTATTTAGATGTATTGAATTTATTCATAAAAAGAATGTTTTCTTCCTGGTTCTCTGCTCCTTGGCACACACAGCGACTGTCTCCCGCCTGATGCCGCTCAGCTGTGGGATCGCTGGTTCAAGCACGCCCTTCTGCTCAAGGAGCATCATGTCCTCAGTACTAAGGACTTGGTCCAGCTGTTCACGCCACTGTTGCTGGAGCGCCATGCCACATACGGCCACCAGGTAGCGCAGGAGGAATACATTCTGTCACCACACAGACAAACATAAAACATAAAAACATACAACATAAATACACACTGTGTGCTACACACATTTGATATAGCCATCAGCTTCTTTCCTACCTCTGCAGACCATTGAATAAGGATAAAAAAGAGACGCTTTTTCACAATGGTTTTGATAGGTTGATTTTGTCTCTGAGATGTGGTGTTAGTGTGACAAAATACGAGAGCCAATGATGGTCTGACTTTAGGTTTTTTTTAATATATGAAGTGATAAAATCGAAAGCAAAATCCTGCTAGCTTCATCATTGTGCACAAGGGGAAAAGCATGAGTGAAATTTTTCTTTTGCTTTTAAAACGTCTCTTGGGCGCCTCTGTCCTCTCATACGGAAGCTGATTTTCCCCACACAAGAGCAAACTCAAATTCTCTTTCTCATCTTGCCACAGTCCCTCACCACAATAAAAGGAAAGCTTGCACAGTCGCAAAGAGAGCCTTTGAATAATCAAGTGTCCTTAGCCCACACTACTACAACAGCAACTTTATTTTTAAATGCATTCAACTTGAACAGTACTATACAATAAAAAATGGCACACTCACTATAGAATGTTTAACATGATAAGATGGTTGAAGAAAGGCAAGTATATTACACTATCAATTCAATTACAATTATTACTAATTGTAATTTCAAAATGTCATGGTCAATATTGACCTCCTATAACGTATGCTTGCAACTTGATTATAATAATATTACATATCATGAAATATTATTATTTATATCACGTTGACATTTTTTATTATAATTAAACATTGAATTATTATAAAACATTATAAAAAGGACATAAATACAATACAATGTAACTAAGCTGTGCACTTGGAGAGTGCCAAAGCCACAAATTGTAGCAAAATGTCAATGGGGTCTACCCACCCTCACATCCAATCAACACACCAAATTTCAGATCAATCTGTCCAATAGTTTTTGTTCAATCCTGAAAAAAACCTCAGACAAACAGACTGACGAGACTGTCACAATGCCCTTTGACAGGGTGATAAATATCATCTCAAAAGATCAAAAAAGACGCTCATGTCCTTTTTATGACGTGAACCGTCAAGATTAAGATATTTGCCTTTTGTCTTTTTGGCTCCTTTTTCATGTTACATTTGAGAGAATCAATTATAAGTTTATCTATTACATAATTCTAGACTTTGGCTCACTACTATCAACAAAGAAACAATCCTTAAACTTTGGCGTTTTAAAATCTTCCTGATCTCCCTGAAAATTAGTGTTCTTAAAAGTTGCACTGGGCCCTCAAAGGACGAGGGCCACTCTTTGATGACACAAAGATGATCGCAGAGATGACAATGGCTGGATTTCAGGGGAGGTAGAAATCTCTGCATCTTGCTGCTACTCATCTGCTGAACAGCTTTTCTTAATTGTGTATCGTCATCTCCCCAGAGATAAAACTGAGCTGGAGAGGGAGGAAGAGAGCAGTTTGACTGCTCCTCTCCACCACAAGGGGAGACTTCCTGAACCTGCTGCACATTAACACCAGGGTGATTGCATTATGTAGGTGCTTTTCTAATCTCATGGATGAGAAGAGAGGGGAAGAAAAGTGTGATTGAGTGCAGCAGTGAAAGTGACTGAATTTCTTTATAGTTAAATGACTGAGTATTTCAAGTTGTTTGAGTACGCACCCAAGCTGCAGCCCTGTGTCAGCTGCCAATATAAATGAGTTTCCTAATCGTAGAGTATTTAATTTAACACTTCCTTCACATTGGAACAATTAAGAGTGGTTTTAATTTGTGCTGCTTGCAGGCCAAAGTGCTACTGAGGACACTTCTGTCCCGGTCCAGTGAGGAGTGCCCCTCAGCAGAGGACGAGAGCAATGTGTCTTCCTTTGGCCCTGATTCCAAAGTTGGGACACAACCTCAGTTACGACACAGCCCAGGTCGAACACTATTTACATCTATTTTATTGTATTTTTAATTAAAGCACTGTCCCATTACAAATGCTGGTGCAATTTGGGATTGCTTTTCCAGTTATCTTGTTTTGTGATCTCCAGATGTTAAAGTGTGTAAAGAGTCAACATTTTACCCCAATTTTAACACATTTCTATATTCATAGGCATGTTACCTAGCAACTGTGACATAAACTGCCCCCCCCCCCTTATGTACACATATATTGTGCAACAAACTACATTGCAAGAATATACTTTGATTTAGTGTAGTATAAACTTTTTAAAATGCTTGTGTTGTGAATGATTCCAAACTGTATGATGAAGTCTCATCTGTGCTTTAAGAGCTTTTCTAGTTTGTCTTTAAAACAGGTGCCACAAGCACTTTAAACACAAATGTTATTTTTGGAGTCAAGCAGGGTGCAGGTGCTCAGAAACGGACGTTTTCAGACTTTTCTCTCTCACTGTCTGGAATTAAACTTATTACCATAGAATTACCTCTCTCAGTATTATGGCTTTTTATCCTTTAAAAGTAATTTCAGTAAAAATGAAATTACATGTAATGACTTTTTAAATATGTAAACTTATATTCATAGAAGTTTACATTCATTCTGTATGTATACATGATCTTTCTTTGTGATAAATTCTTTACTAATCATTGTTAAAAAAAAAAAGATTAGTCAAGATTAGATTGAGATTAATCAATTTGCATCCATCCATTCAATTAATCTCAAGTTATTCTTCAGATTTATATACCTTCAATTTGTTTTCTATTTAATCATTTATTTTTCATGCCACATTCCCTGACACATTAAACCTCTTCCTGTTTGTTTCCCTGTGTTCTTTCGTGCCATTGTCCTCACTATTTTCTTTCTTTTTGTACAGAACAACAAAGTAGTGGAGAGGATAGCCTGGACCAAAGCCCTGTGGAAAGTGTTCCTATTAAAGGTAAAAAGGCATGGCCACTGCGGCTGCGTTCACACTGTTATGTGGTGTCTTCCAGCAGCAGTGAATAATGGGCTCTTTTACACAATGGTTGGGCCACGATGATCAAGGTGTATTCGGGGTCCTTTCTGATGCTACTTCTCTCTAATTATCTCTAATAAAACAGTGTGCATGTTTTGACCCTGGTCTGTGAGATCCTGGTCAAAGTCATTGGTTCTACATAATGCTGCTTCTTTAGTTATTAGGGCACCCGGGTGGGAAGAGATCTTTTATTGCCTCTCATTATCGTCTAAACAATGAGCCATAATCTTGGACTTGAAAATTGTAGATTTAAAGGCTCTCTGGCAGCAGTTGGGTTGCCCCTCAGCTATCTCTGAAATGTAAAGCATTTCTGTTTTCCCACATTTCCCACTGGGTTTTCATGTGTCCATCCCCATGGTGCACAGGCAGAAAAATGAGTCTAGTTTGTTTTATCTCCATTTAAAAGAAACTTTACAATAACATGACTAAATCTATTCCCAGGGAAGAGCTTTTCTCATGCTAGTTAACATCAAATCGCATCTTTGGGAATATATATTTCTAAGTAATTGCCAGTGTATGTCCAACCCACATGACTTTGGACTATAGTTAGGGTTAGCCATTTCAAGCTGTGTATAAAGAATTGTTAAAGAGTATTTTTTTTCCCCAAAGACTCCAACGAAGTAACACGGAGTGCTGTTCAATCCATTATTCAGAAATGTTTAGAGCATGGCATCATTGAACAAGGAGATGCTTTAAGCTGAACAAGGAGAGCTCTGATCAGATATGCCCCTGCAGGATGAGTCTGGAGTTGACGTAAACTTCTGCAGCTGAACCCGGGAATGAGCCAAATAGTAGTAAAAGTACTTCATACTAATCTTAAACGACAAGTGGCTCTAACAATGTTGAAAGAAAGCCCTGAAAAATCTTGATTAAAGTTTGCCTGAAGTCATTTGGAGAACTTAGTGCAATTGTATGATTTAAATACAATGTGTGTTGAAACCATTTAAACCATAGAAGCGCACTGCTCCTTATTGTTTCATTCTCACTGATAAATAAATTGTCTTTCTTTTATTTCCTCAGCGTCAAAAGCTTATCAATTGCTCAAACAATCAGCCATGCAGAAAAGGATTCCTAATATGAAAGAAGATGATGAAGAAGAATGTGATCTCTTAAGTAAGACTATTCACTTGTATGCAGTATTTAACTGTATAAACATGTTTGTATTTAACGATCACAAAGAAGGTGGAATAATATGAACTGCTCTCGTCCTGTTCTGGAATACTCACTACAGTGGGTCTGTGGAATGAGGAGTTGGCATTTATTCTGATTTTGTTTTCGTTTTTAAGGAATAAATGAGCATGAAGAGGACTCGGGGTGGGCCAATCGCTCCTTACATCAAGACCCTTACTCCGGGTAAAACACTGTTTATTATTCTACGGGCCACAGGAAATGGGCCACCAGACACCAAAGTGCTTCATGTCCATTTGCATGGCGGCTCTTATAATTCCCTGTTCATTTCCATAAGATCAAGGGTGTGCTACCCATTAACTTGCTCACAAAGACAAAAGGCCCCTAAGCCCCTCTTACTTACTGTATGCTTGATTTAACTAGTTTCTGAAAACCTAAGTGGTAACAAATACAATTTATTATTACATTATGACTTATTGTCAAAATACAAACTGATCAGGTCAAGAACAGAATCAGGAATGACTGTTTTGGAAGAGAACGACTCAAGTGTTGACAATGAGAAATGTCCTTTTAGTTTATCCTTGAAACACGTTTAGGCCGCTGAAATCAGAGACCTAAGTGGGACGGAAAGGAACATCTAATGATAAATAGCTTGGTGGAGCTAACACCATCACGGATACATTTGAATATCCACACGACTTCATCAAATCTGCAATTGCATGCCGGGTCCTCAGAGCACCTCTTCACAGCGAACCCATTTTGGCTGTAGTAATGGCTGGGTAAACGTTATGAGGAATAATCTTCTCTGATTTCATGTGATTACTGGGCACCACGCTGACACAAGGGCTGAAGTCTGCATCTCTGTGGCCTGGCAATCCGGCACTCCCAGTCTGCCTATTAGCCCTGGGAAGGGCCTAATGGGCTGGCTCCATTGTGGTCCTCATTGCAGCCGATGTCTACCTCTGTCTGCCCTAGTGACCACCCTCTTTAATAAACATGAGCCAATTTTAAGCCTAGACCCACTCAGAAGGTGATTAATGTTCATGGAAGGACCACAATATGTGTGATTAAATACACATTTAAGAACAAAATAATAATAAATTAAGAAGAAAACAAACAGCTTGCCAAGTTTAAGTCCTAACAGTATGAGTGAAAATGTACTGTAATAATGCTTCTGACTTCTTTGTATCTGCTTTTCACCACCACAAAGTCTGAGCCACAGTATTTGTCCCTGTTGTCTCCGTAACTGCACACATGCAAACACTTGATATAAGGGGCTTGAATTCCTACAAGTTCTAACAAAACTTGACTGTTATTCTGTTGGCTTCTCGTCTCCCAATGCTGCCCTTTCTCCATCTGTGTGCCCCTTTTTATTCTCGTCTTGTGCATGTACTCGCCCCCCTCATCCTACTTGTTAATTATTTGCTTTATTTTGTCAGTGAGATGATGAGTGACTTCAAAAGGCACAAATAGCTGGACTCTAAATACAAAAAATGCTTCCTCTCTGTTGTCTTAGACAATAATTATGATTTGTCAGTTAAGCCTGGACTACAGCAGAGGGATTGTAGTTTAAAGCAGAGGCTTTGGTGCAAAAATGCATTTATAGCCCTTTGTGAGGCTCCTCATTATGTGTGGGCCTGATTCATTAAGTAATTGGTTTGCAGTTGTTTACATGAGTATTAAGGCCTTCTATTCAGGGCCTTTGAGAGATACATTGTGCAAATGTTGCATGTTATGAATGCAGAATGAGAGGCAGGGGGCCAGTGCTATTGGCCAAACACTGCACTCCACTGAAAAGTGAAAGAAAAGCGCTGGGTGCTGCTTTGCATAGCAATGACTGAGGTCTTAATAAGCTTTACAGATTAAATACATGCAGTCTATACAAGATGCAACGAGATACTCTTAACACATTTATATGTGTTCATTTCACTATTATGCCATTCGAGAGAATTGAGGTCTTTCATATTTTTTTCTCACTTCGCCTTTGCTCACTCCCACACAGCGTTTTTCAGGCAGATACTTTTATCAAATGTGGTGTTTATTGTATTATAACTGGCGGGGAAGCGACTGATCTGCAACATTTATTAAGGATTTGTCCATTAAAACTCTTTGCTGTCTTTGTGAGAGGCAAAGTAAAATCACTTTGTGGTTGAGTGGGGATGAAAGGAATATTGCACGAAGGAGTGAGTCTTAATAAGCAGCTGCACTCCATGTAAAGACCACTTGTTCCCCTTTGTATGCCTGTGCATGCCACTGCTTCCTCTAGTGCAAAGGGGCATTGTGCTATACTGTAGGCATTTCATGCACTGTTCTCTTATTATTTGTATTTAAAATGCTTGGTGTGTTTCAAGTGTTTGCTTGTTTTTAACGTAAACTTCTTCATAGGCACTGAAAAAACCTGCCACATGTTAATTCAAGTATAGGTCAAATCCGTCCCTATGTATATAACTGTTTATTGGGTAGAATCTTTTTAGTGTTGTTTTTGCACTATTTTTGTGTTGCTGTTTGCTCTGACTATTTTCAAACACATTTCATTGGTAACACCAGGAATATTTTAGAGAAAACGTGTGCATGCGTCACCCTTTATATGTGCTTTTATTTTTCAGAATTAGTTTGAGACTGAAATGTATAGTCTGTGTGTGTCTATGTTCCCATTCGCTCGTCATGTTCTGTGTATCAAGTCTTCTCTTATTACCCACCCCATACCATCGGTTAAAATGTCTGGCCAACTGCTTCCCCCTCTCCATCTGCAGTACACCGCTGTGACCAGCAGAGAGCACTCGAACGCTAGAAAGTGGCCCCTCATCAGGCGCATGTCCCTGTGGTCTTTGCCTGAGCTGGTGGCCCCCTCTGCTTCATCCTGCTCCTGTTGAAGCCTGGGAGTACTGCAGCCGTGCGCAGACTGAGTGCTGTTGCAGGAGGTTCGGGCCTGGGATAGGAGAGTAGGAGTAGATGGGAGTGATGGGGTGATGATGCTCCCTTTACCTTTAGACAGCCACTGCTGCGTTCAAAGTGCCATTGTGCTATTAGCATCCATGTGTGGGTGGCAGCAGCTTAAAACAGCAGCGGTAAATAAAGGCACATATCCAGATAGCATTGTTTCCAAGCAATAGTTTAGTGCCAAATAAGCAGTGTTCTGGGCTCTGTTGTCGTGTGTTTGTTAAATCTGTCAGAATTGTGAATGATGTGTATTTTGGTCCTTATTTGGCAATGCAGTTGGCAATATAGATATGTATTCAGTGGTATTGTTTGAACTTATAGCCCTTAATTATTAAAATGCTGAAATTGGTGTCAGTTTGTGGCGTGAATGGCTATGGAGAATATCTTTTATAAACTATGCTATTATAGAAAATTATAGTGCCCAATTACATATTCTGTTTACAATGTACAGGTCACACAATCTGAATGTATATCAGAAAGGAATAGATGTTAAAACGTGTCATAAACAATAACATGGAACAATGTGTGACAGCACTGGTGAATAAGCGAGGCTTGTGCAAAGAACATTGGAATTACAATAGCTGTAATTTGCATCATTTTACACACTTACCTCTCCCTCTCCGAGTTTATAAAATGCAGACCAGCCCAGTCTTATATATTCAGACCATTGCCTCAATTAAGGGAAACTCAGCTGAAGATGAATTGGCATAAATGTTTATGAAAACGGAATATTAGATTGGTGGGGTCACATACAGACTGGACTCCCTATGGTAATGGCTCCGTCTTGATATCAATCCTATCCCTCGCTGAAGTGGAGCAGCTGATAGAGCAGTCCTATCCTGGGGGAAGTTGGTGAAAAGAAAAAGGCAATTTTGTGTGTCTATAACAGCTATAATTGTGGCAAAAGAGAGGAAGTAATTGTATGGAATATGCCAGATTTCCATGGCTCCAGGTGATGTGCTGTTCAATTCCTAACTTTTGGCAAATGGCTTCTCGATCTGCGATGGTTTAGTTGCTTCGGCATCTGTGTTTAAGTGGACTTTTTACGAGGCTGAGGTTCCCCTGCCATTGTCTTTGTGTTGTCTATTATTTTCTCTTCTTATAATATGCATTTTTAAGCCTCATTGCATAGAGTTCAGCTCATGAAAAATATGTTACCAACTCAAGTGCACATCATTTATACATCTAGAACAACCTTCAGCAGTTTTTATCCTGCCTGAAGCCCGTAGGATTGTAGCATCAGTCAAATAAAACGCATATGACAATCTGCTTTACAGGTGTTTTTGTTGTTGCAGAATTTGTAGACTAAGTAAATAACTAGAATAAACTCATTATGTCGTAGATCTATCTTTTAGTTTTTATGTTGAGCAGTCATTGGACAGTGCATCATGGGATAATTGTTAGTTAGTTAGTAGTAGTAGTAGTAGTAGTAGTAGGATTCATTTAAGTGCCAAATGCAACCAATGTATTATGTTTTTTAATTCTTATTGCTGTTTCCATCTGTTATGTTGAAGGGAAAATATTGTAATACATATCTGCCAAAGATGTATGCCTTTCAAGTTGGTAGTAGAAGTCGTAGTTGTACAAAAGCAACTAATAGGATGCAAACAATGTAAACCGCTGCAACACACAGTTAGTTCCAACCCCTCTCACTCATACACAATACATCAAAAAACTCACCCACTCAACTCTGACAAGACCCAGGCCCAAACACTCTCCGACCCCACACCTCCCACCACACTGACCACCTCATTGTAGTAGTAGTAGTAGTAGTAGTAGTAGTAGTAGTTTGCTTCCTGCTTTTGAAGCAGAGCAGTCGTGTGTCTCTCGGCTCTGCTTTTGCTTCGCCTTTTAATCTCCTTGAATCATTTTATTTACATTTTTTTGTTTCTCCTTTAATCATTTTATTTACAAAACGAGGATTACTCCTTCTACACACTTCAGCTTTGTGGAATTTATCAACTTTAGTCATGTCGGGACGAAAGAGACGGAGAAACGTCTGCGACGGCTGTTGTGCTTTGGAAAATCAGCTCAAATCTCTTCAAACACGGATATCTATTGTGGAAACAGAAATGGGACTTAACCCGACTCTTCCAATGAGTGAAAATGGGATGAATGGACAGACTGGAAATGTAAGTTATGACGTCATTTCTTTTCCCAAAATCAACAATGAGAATTATTGGAACTATTGTGGAGCTAAACCCAAAGTTGACAAAGCTAAGAATGACAATAGGAGTGAAATAAGGCCACAACTAAATGTTCTGAAGACTTCAAACCGCTTTTTA